ACATGGTTGTCACACACCCAAACGAGCGTGCAAGCACACGCACACAGTGTCACACACCCAAACGAGCGTGCAAGCACACGCACTCAGTGCAAACACCGCCCCTGCCGCACACCCCCGCGCCGGGCTCCGCCGCGCCGCCCTGTCCCCCACCACGCCCCGCTTGGGGACACGGTGGCCAAGGTCACCGCCGCGTCCCCCGCGCCGGCTCCGGTCCGTCCCCGGGCCGGCGGCGGGGACCGGCCGCGGCCGCGCTCGCCTTGGCCCCGCGGGACACGGCCACACGTCCCGGGATGTCCCCAGCGTCCCCCGGAGCCCCCCGCAGGGCCGCCCCCGTCCCCCCGGGACAGCCCCTGCCACCCCCGCGCTGCCCTGGCGTGTGACACCGCCGTCCCCACCGCTGTCCCCACCGCTGTCCCCACCTCCGTCCCCACCTCTGTCCCCACCGCTGTCCCCACCTCTGTCCCCACCGCCGTCCCCACCGCGGCTACTCACAGCGAGATGACCTCGGGGGGCAGGTTTTTGGGCACGGCCTTGGAGTCCACGCAAAAAGCCGTGTCGCGGGTGCAGGAGCAGCTCGGGGGGCACGGGGGAGGCCGCGGGGGCCGCCGCCCCTCCGCCGGCAGGCAGAGGAAGGCCACGGCGAGGAGGAGGAGGAGGAGGAGGAGGCGAGCGGGGAGCTGCTCCCTCGGCATCCTGCCGCGCCGCAGCTCCATCGCTCCCCAGCCTGATCCCTGCTCCCAACGCCGCTGTGCCCGGCAGCTGTGGAAAAAAATCTTTATTTTCCTCTCTTTTTTTTATTTTTATTCCCCCGAGGATCTCAGCGTGGAGGAGAAGCGGCGGAGCCTGCCTGACCCGCGGCTCTGCAGCACATCATGCCCGGTGCTGCGGGAGGGAGGGAGGGAAAGAGGGAGGGAGGGAGGGAGGGATGCGGCTGAGTGACATCGCCAGCATCCCCGTGCACGCGTGTCCGTGCGCGCGTGTCCCCGGCAGCGACCACCCTCGGGGCTCCACGCCGCGGGTGGGAGCGGCCCCCGGGCTGCTTTTGGGGTGCGCAGAACTGGGGAGGGGGGACACGCCAGGGGTGATGCCCCCGCAGTGGCTCCCCCAGCTCGGCGCCGCAGCGCTGCCCGCTGCGGCCGCAGCGCGCTGGGCAGCGATCCACGCCGCCCCGGGCACCCGGCCGTCCCTGGCACACATCTCTCCCGTGCCAGGCGTCCATCTGCGCCCGGCCTGGCACGGAGCCCGCGGGAACAATGAGTCCAGCCAGCTCCTTCCCCACCCCGGGGGGGGGGCTCGCACAGCTGCCCGTGCAGAACCAGGGGTGCAGCCCCCCTCTCCCGGGACCTGCTGGAACCCCTCTGCCGCAATCCCGGGATGGGTGTGGAGGGAGGGCACTGCCCGCTGTTTGCCTTGGCACCCCCACAGCGCTGGCGGGCAAATGGCACGGAAGGGCCCTCGGAGGCTTCTTGTCCCCTCCCTGGCTCTTGTGCGCGCTCAGCAAACAGCACAAGCGGCACTCGGCAGCTGGAGTGGCCCCAGCCTTCCCCGGCCGCCCGGGATCCTATAAATACCCCCGGGCCCGCGCTGGCAAAGGGACAGGAGCGCACGGGGAGATGGACGACAGCTCCAAAGAGGCGCTGATGGAGGAGGCACCTCCGGTAAGGAGCACCCAGCACCCACGCTGGGCGCGGGGCTGAGTCCCCGGTGCCCCGCGGTGCTGGCGGCTCAGCCGGGCGCTCCCCCGTGTCCCCCCCACCAGAGGTACACGGAGTCCCCGCGCCTGCCCTGCATCCCCCACGAGCTCAAGAGCCTCTTGCTGATGGTGGCCCTGGTGGTGGTGGCCCTCGTGGTGGTCAACGTCGCCTTCCTCCTGCTGGGGCTGCGCCTCAGCGAGTCCCACGCCGAGACGGTGAGGGCAGGAAGGGACCGCGGTGCCACCGGCGCCGGGAAGGGGTTGGGATGGCACCGCGGCTTTGTGGGGAGGGGGCTCAGCCCCCGCAGAGCCCCCTGAGCCCTCTCCCCCCGGCAGGTGTTGCGAATGACCACCCACGGGCTGGATGGCGACGGGAGCCCGCAGCAGCTCGCCGTGAGCAAGAAGGAGCGGAGCGGGACGTTCGCGGTGCGGGACGGGCACAACGGCTCGGCCGCGGTGGTGTACGACTACGGCAAGGTGCGGGGGCACCGCGGGAGCGGCGGGGCGGCCCCGGGGCCGTGCCGAGCCGAGCCGGCTCTGTAGGGAGCGCTGGGCTCCAGGAGGGTTTGGATGGATGGAGACGAGAGATCTCTGGAGGCTGCTCTTGGGATATCAGGTTTATTAGGGATGGAGAAAGGTCCTGCTTGGAGCTGCCCGGCGCAGCACGGGGCAAGGCCTGAGGGGATGGGGAGGGGAGAGACAAGAGGATGCTCCAGGAGAGGGTGGGAGTTCCAAGAGAGCCGGGATTCCAAGAGAGAGGAGTTCCAAGAGAGGAGAAGAAGAAGAAGAAGAGGAGGAGTTCCAAGAGAGCGTCCGGCCCCTCAGACACCCCTTATCAGGTGGTTCAAGGTGGGCTGGAACAAGATTTGGGCCAATGGGGTCACAGACACCTGATGCATCAGGGGAGGGTTACAGGTGTGGGATGAACATTTTGGGGGTTGAGATGGAACAGTCCATTTGACTTTTGGACCTACCTGTAGGTAAGGGTGTTGTCCATCCAGTAGGGAGGATTGTTTTCATCCTGGCTGTACTATAGTGAATCTTCTGCCAGGCAATTCTATTTATCCATCCTTCCCAACATTTATTTCCGATATTTATCCATCCTTTCCTCTGTCTGCCAACAGCTGCTGGTGGGATACAGGTCCTGGCGCCGCCGCGCCTGCCTCATCACCCGCCTGGACAAGGACAACTTGCCGGGGCTGGACGCTGTCACCGAGACCTTCCAGCGCCGGCAGGTGAGCGGTGACCACTGAGGGAGTGGAGCCGCACTGGGCTCAGCACAGCCCAGCCCTTGGGAAATGTGGGGCTGGGGGCTTGTCCCCTCTGGAGGGGACACTGTGGCTGCCGAGAATTGTAAATGCAGGCGAAGCCAATGGGAAGAAATGACCATGTCTGACTCAAGTCAGAAGGATGAATGATTTCTTTATTAAAACTATGCTAAAATACATCAATATACTATATAAAAGGAGGATACTAAAACTACACACTACTTTCTCTGATTTTAACTCTAACACCCTCTCTGAGAGTCCAGCCCCAGGTGGGTTGGATTGGATTGGGTTGGATTGGGTTGGATTGGATTGGATTGGATTGGATTGGATTGGATTGGATTGGATTGGGTTGGGTTGGGTTGGGTTGGGTTGGATTGGCCACCAGGCTCAAACAATCCTCACCAGAATCCAACCAAGCACTCACCCCAGGTAAACAATCCTCCAAACACATTCCACATGGGAAAACCAAGGAGCAGAAACAGAAATTGTTTTCTCTTTCATTTCTCTTTGTGCTCCTCTATGAAATTCCTGAGAGGGAGAGAACTTTGCCTGCCCCAGCCGCGGGTGGCAGCTCTGCTCCGTGCTCTGTCCTGCAGGATGAGGACGTTGGGGACAAGGCCATGCCCCTGACTGACCGCTCCATCCTGGGCACCACCATCAACATCCTCTGCAGCGCCGTGCCCGTGTTCTGGGTGTAGCAGCAGCTCCCAGCGGGATGCGACAGCCACGCGGGGATGTCACCGTCCCCCACGCCGCCTTCCAGGAGGGACAGCTGGGAACGCTTCCTCCTCCTCCTCCTCCTCCTCTTCCTCATCCCCATCCCGGGGACAGCCACCCCGCCCCGGGGGTGCTGCATCCGCTGTCGCTTGGCACTGCGGCTTTCCCCCTGCTGTCTCCCTAAAAAAAAGTGGGATTTGCTTTGGGATTTGCTTCTGTCTACAAAGTAAAGCCTGTGTTCACCTCCAAGCGTGCTCTTGCCCTTCCTGGGTGCTGGGGACAGGGACACGGTGTCCCAAGGGTGTCCCTTTGCAGGGTGCAGGGTGGGGAGGGGAATCACTCACCCCCCCCGGGATCAAACACGGGGAGGCAGCAGCAGAAGTGCACACGATGCTCCCATCCCCCCCATCCCTCATATTGTCCCCACCTGTGTCCTCCTATTGTCCCCAACTGTGTCCC